GTGACACTGGGGAAGGGAGGGATTGGTCATTTGGTACCAAAATAAGCCCTGAGACTAAGGCATGCAGTGACCCTATAACATTGCTAGTCGAAGTGCGGTCTATGAAGGGGGAGCATTACCATCACCTGGGAGCTTGTTAGAAATGCAGAATCTCAGGCCTTACCCCAGAGCTTCTGGATCAGAATCTGCATTTTAACCAGATCCCCAATGATGCACATACATGTGAAAGTTTGAGAAAAACTGCCTTAGAATACACACGCACATTCACCAAGACAAAGCTAGTGCCTCCACTCTGCTGCACTTCCACCAAACCATCAAGAGGTTTGATGATTCTTTACAAGTGCTGCCCTCAATTTTGACCTCCCTCCAAACGGTTTCAGGGAACGGAGCTCACGAGGAACAGACCCTATATAATTTTCCCTGGGCCTCACCTTCACTCTGCACAAGCTGAACCCAGCACTACTCAACCAGTGACAGGTGGGATTAAATGCTAACGCCCTTGGGCACAATCACTGGTTACAGAGAGTGCAGAAGCAAACAGGGAGAAAATACTCTTAAAATGTGGTTTGGCAAAACCGCAAAACCAATCGCCGTCAAACTGTTTACCACATGTGCCTAATTACCATGCAGGAGATGGAAATCATCATGATTAAGGCTGATTACTTTGGAAAGGTTTATTCAGTGACATGACTGGTAATCCCAACCTCATAGTCCAGGCTAAACTTTGGACTTCTGCCTTCAAATCTCCAGGATGGACATGTAAATAGGTTCCTTGCTTGGAACTTGGAAAATGTAAAAGAGCTTTTTACTCTTACATCTAGGCTGTAGTTTTGGTAAAAGAAAGAGAAAAGTTCTTTAAGCACTGCTGAGACTTGAAAGGGGCTTGTTGTGGGCACCAGACTCTACTCATCGTTCTAGGTCCAATAGAAGTGTCCTATCCTTTAGAGTTTTCCCAGAAATTATCACTCCCTAGTCTGTTTCTCATGGCATTTTCTTTAGACTTCTATTGTAGCTCTTAGGGAGGTAGAAGAACTTATCCTTTAGGAACCCAGGCTTTGCACCCTAACTATATGCGTCTAAATTCTCCCTCTGCCTATTACTCCCTCTGGTCAAGTGACTTCCCTCCACAACTGTAAGACGCAGAAACCTATATCATAGGTTTGTCATAAAGATTACACGAGACAATGCATATAAAAATTACAGTGCCTGGCACATAATAAATAATCAATGTTAGCTATTATTATTAGCACTTCACAGAGTCTGGCTTCAATTAGAGTTGGTTGTATATATGTCTGTCTTCCTCACTAGACCGTGAGCAAAGTGTTTATATCACACACATCTGGCATAGAGACTTACAAATGGTAGACACACAATAATATTTGTCAAACTGGTTTGAAGCTATGCCAGGAAGAGGAAAGGGAGGGTGCTGGAAATAAATTTAACGTACTTTATGATTTTACCCAGGGCCAACCTCTATAGTGTTTGTTTTTCTTCTATTATCAGAGTGCAATGTTTCAGACTATGAGGTTGCTATAAAATGGGGCTGGAGAAACACTCTTTCTAGAATGAGATGTTCTGTTCAGAGATAGCATGGTTGTGCTATGAGGCATCTGAAATCTCCAGTTTGGCCCCTGTCTGAGGGCGGGGAGTGGAGGCTGAAGTTCAGCCAGAGCTGGACTGGTCAAACTGGGCGCCTAGGCGTTAGGTCACATCAGCTCTGAAGATCACCCACCTGGAAGGGATGAATCTTGTTTCTCAGTGTATTCACTTAGAGGGATGTTTTTATAGATTGCACAAAAGAGCTGTATGTCCCAGCTGGAGCTCTATTGCAAACTCAAAGTTGCCCTTTTAAACCAGCTTCCTGACTCTTGGGTGAACATCAACTAAAATAATAATAAAAATATAATAATAATAGTTGGTCTATTTACTAAATATTTATTGAGTGCCCATTATGTGCTAAACATTGCACTAGACGCTGTAGATCCAAAAGTAAATAAAGAAATTATAGAAGGGGGAAGTGGGAGGCGATGCAGAGGGCAGGAATGTTAACAAGTATGATGAGTGCCACCTTAGGCATAAGTGGGAAGGTGTTGCAGAAACATCCATGGCGGGGGCCTAACTTACGGCTTGAAGGGTTGGAGAAGGCTTAAAGCAGGGACTAACAACCAAGATAAGGCTTGAAGGAGTGATCCCAATAGCTAACAGGGTTTTTTTTTAAGATTTTATTTTTCCTTTTTCTCCAAAGCCCCCCAGTACATAGTTGTGTATTTTTAGTTGTGGGTCTTTCTAGTTGTGGCATGTGGGACACCGCCTCAGCGTGGCCTGCCCAGCAGTGCCATGTCTGCCCCCAGGATCCCAACTGGTGAAATCCTGGGCCACCGAAGCAGAGCGCACAAACTTAACCACTCTGCCACGGGGCTGGCCCCCGACAGCTAACATTTATTGAGCACATACCATATGCATCAGGTCCTGTTCTGAGACCCCTGCATGAATCCCTCATTTAGTCCTTACAACAACCCTAAGAGGTAGATAATCTCTTCATTTTACAGATGAGAAAACTGAGGTACAGTTAGTAAATGATGGAGCTGGAATTCAAACCCAGGCAGCTTGGCTCCAGTCTAAAGGGGAAGGAGAGGGCACATAGGCCTTCCAGCCAGAGACAAGTGCCTTGCAACGGCATGGAGGAAAGAAGCAAGGTTTCTTGGGGAACTGAAAGTGGTTGAGGGTGGGGACAGAAGTTGGGAGATGACTGGGCACCCTCTGCCAGTTAGAGGGGAAACCAGAGGCAGGAGATTTCTGGTCTGGTCTGGACTTTCAAAAACTAGCTGTGTGATTCCTGTCACCTAACCCTTCCTGGCCTCAGTCTCTCCCTTTTGTAAAAAGCAATAATAACAATACCTAGGCTCTACTATAGAGAATGGCCAAGAGCACCAAACAAGAAAAATGTATGTGAACTTAAGAGCAAAGCACAAATTCCTTCCCAGACTTGAGATTTCATTAGTATCATTTCCCCAGAAGCTTCAGGGATTTGCAAACGTGGAATCAACGATGTCAGGGCAGTGGGAAGAGCCTTCGGAGTAAAAGTGTTGGGGAATAGAAAGGCCCACGTTCCCTGTGTCCAACTGCCTGCATCCAAATTCACCACTTACCGTGTGAGCCCAAGGCAAGCCACTCTCTCACTATCTCAACTCCATCAGCTGGAGAATAGGGGCTGATAATGATGGCACTCGTAAGCTGATGTGAAGAATAAATAACACGTGCAAAACGCTTAGAACAGCTCCCGGCAGAGTGAAGACTGAGTAAACCTTAATGGCTATCATTATGACCGTTACTAAGAAATCTGTTGGCTACTCATTCCATTCCTCCACGTTCTATGTGATAAAAAAGTGTGGGGATATTAAACATTAGAGATGATGAAGAAGGTTTTCAACCCTACACAGCCACACTGCTGCACAGATTCTTCCCAGCTGCTACGGGCTGGCAAGCAGCTGGCTCTCTGTCCTGGCAGAAAATGCCCAAAAGAGGTAAAAGACAGAGACTGCACACCATCTAGGCAAACCAGGCTGCTCTTGCAGGTTTCAGACAAAATCTAAATATAGTCAGTCAGATATGCCTTGCTTTTTTAAGATAAAACTGTTCTTCTTTGTCATTCCACATCCCCCGACCCCCCCCCCCCCCCCCCCCCCCCCCCCCCCCCCCCCCACACACACACACAGACACTCTCCCACACATCCCAAGAAACTTTCGGTCTTTTGCAAGACATACTCTGGGGTCCTGTTGTGACAGCCTCTTGCCACACTGACTTCTCTGTCTGACTCGCCGCAGAGAAGCCTTTGCTAATTTCACAACAGGAAAGCACGCAGGAAATTCGAGAACAAAACAAATGTACACAGGGAGCCCAGCATCTTCAAGCAAATATGCTGAGGTACCGACTCCAAGCAAGATGACTCTGGACTGTAAATGAGGCAGCTGCCTCTTAAACTGCAAGGGGACAGAAGAAGTCAATTACCTCTAAAAAAAACCAGATCTGAATACAAATTGATAATGAATATTCATGAGCCCCTCAAGCTTGCTAAAAGCCACCCTTGACTACAACTCCTGGGCTTTGCTTGCTAAAAAGTTTCCCAAAGTTCTTTCTCGGCCTCCTCTCAGAAGGAGAGGGTGGGAAAGTTCATTTAGGGCTTTTTACCTCTTGCTCTTTCAAGTACTTGCTTTTGGTCTGGGCTTTTGGCTTTTCTTTTTTTTTTTTTTCTCAAGATTTCGGATCAAATCAATTTTGCTCTTACCCTTTCTATCTTCCATAATTGGCAGCTTTTGTTTTCTTCCTCTTTGCTTTTTTTTCAGCCTCTGCTTGCTGTGGTCGTCTCAGTGAGAGAGGTATTCAAGGAACAGAGATATAACAGACCCTCGGGCTCGTGGGAGGGGCTAAAGCAGCCAGCCCCATTTCGGAAGGAACTCAAACCCTATGTCTTTCATTGACTGGAAAGGACAGATTGGCGGGGGAGTGCCGCTGCTCATTTCCCTAAAGCTACACGAAGGCTTCCCCGGGTTGTAACTTTTTGTATTCTTGAAGCAATGTATGTTCAAATATCTCGCGCACGCTCTCTCCCTCCCTCCTTGCTACAGAAATCTGTTTTCCCCCTTGAAAAATGTATCTTGGCTGCAAGCAAAAAAGCTATTTACTTATTGCAATTTTGAAGCCAGATAACAAGAAACTTGTTACCTTGATTCCCACTGGGAAGGCTGTGGGACGCAAGAACAGTTCTTCCCGCCCCCTAAAGCCGATGGCTTCCAGTCCCCTGAGGAGCAATCCCTTTTCGAGGCTCCTTAGACCAGATGAGCAACGTCTCCCCAGCTTTGGACGCCGCGGCAGGAGGAGCCGTGTTATTGGTCAGAAAGCCGGGCGGGACGGCAGACGAGGCTGCTCGCTGGGAACAACTATTTAGCCGTCCTGACGCAAGTCGTCCACCTTTTCCGAACTTTAATCTCCCACCTCTTAAGTCTTAGGAGCATGAATCGGCACGCCCAGGCTTGCTAAGATGACCCAAATGCAAATGAGAGCCTGACCAAAACATTTTTAAACTCTGTATACGGAGTTATTTTGAAATCAGGACCAGAGCTAACTCTGCAGGAAGGAGGTAAGTCCTCAAGTCACAAGGGCCCCTGGGTAGCTTCTCCCTCTATGACACTGTCACAAACCTTAGTATTTTCGATTTGAATGAGACCCCAGACATTTAGTCTAACTAGGGTTAGAGACGTGGAAAAGTTAAGCCACCTGCTCATGTTCACACAGAGAGAGCAGAGAGCTAGTGTCTCTTATTTGCTACCATGCTCCCCAGCAGCTAATACAGTTGCTCCCACAGGGTAGGCTCTCAGTAAATATTTGATGAATGGTTGAATTAATCAATGAATAGCAGCAAAGTAGGAATGTACATCTGGTTTCCTGGTTCCTAGTTCATGCTTTTCTACATTGCCTCTCCAGCTTGAGAATGTGTGTCTAAAGCCAATTATACCATAAGACATTTTTCTTCATATAAACCATTAAATTTGTGACCATTACAGATTATTTTTGACTCTACATAGAAAATATATTCTCCATTATACTTTCAATCATACTTTATTAAGGGCAGGGGCTGAGTTTTTAGTTTCAGCATTTATTACCCCTCACAGTGTCCAGCACATAGTACGTGCTCAATAAATTTTGGATGCTCTAATAAATCTGGGTCTGTACACTAAGGCTCTTTCTTTATCCTACTAAATGGTTCATAGTTACAGGATTTTGCATTTATAATAACAGCTAATTATACTAAAGGAAAAATCCACTGAATGCCTTCTCCAGAGCCAGTTTAGACTCCATCTCTAATAAAGAATATTGGTTTGATATTTGTCCTATTGCGGTAAAATTGTTTTTAAGTAACATAATGCAATATTTGTAAAAATCAATAATTTTTATAATGAGTTTATGACTGTCTTGGCATCACTGTTTCAGGAAAAAACTTGAAAAAGAGCATGTCCACAAAACATCTCGTGACCTACAGAAGAGAAAACAGACCATCAAGCTAGAAGGAGAAAAGACTGATTGAGGGGAAGATCAGAGTGGATGAGAGGTTAGATGGGAGAAACAAACACACAAGCACCTGAACATGTCAAGGAGAGCCCCACTTTGGGTACTGTGGTAACAGTTTATTTCAAACAAAAGTAAAATTCAAAGCAACTCCTATCATGTTCTCCTTGGATATCACATTGTTGACGAAAGGTTACTTCGACAACTGACTCATTCTCTTTCAATTTGATCATAGAGAGAGAAGCTATCTAGAGTAAAGGACCCAACTTCTGGTTCAACCAGAAGAGGTAAAATCTCATTATAATAACTAGCACTTCATAAAAATTTGAAGTTCATCTGAGTTGAATATAGTAATAGAAACATAGTTTTAGCCCCCAACTCATATTATGTGAACTTTTTGACATTTAATGCTTTTTATGGTATCAAGCTCTGCACTACAATTTAATCATATGTCTGGTGTTCACACCCTCCTCGGCATCATGAAAACACTGTAGTTAAGTAAATATTACTTGTCATTCATCCAAGAATAATTACAGAAGAGATCGTGTTTGTGTGTCTTTTTAAAGGCCCAAGAATTTATCTTAAAAATAAATCCTGTTTCTGAACCAAAAATTATCACCATTATTTATATTATTCTTATTTGTAACAGGAAGTAGAAGATAAAAACTGCACTCAGAGAGACGGAGGGAATTGTTAGAAAGAGGTAGAGATATTCCATCTTTCTTAATGATAAATTGGTCTTTGATAAATTCTTAGAATGACTGCAGTTCCATTTTTTTCTATACTGTCAACCTCTCTCATTGTACTGCCCAGATGATCTTTCTGAAGTGTATACCTGATAATGTCATTTCAAGGCTAAAAAAAATCTAGTCTCCTTATCATCCATAAGTAAAATTCAAATTCCTATCAATACATAAGGTCTCTCTCTACCTCTCTAGACTCCTTTCCTGCCATAGGTCCCTGTACTCCAAAAATGAATTATAATTAGAAACCCATAGTCCTTTCATGACTCTGCATTTACACAGGTTGGTCCCTCTGCTCAGAATGCTCTTTCCCCTCTTGTTCACCTGGTCCTCCTACACATCCTTCATGATTCAGCTTATGTATCTGGTCCTCTATGAAGCTTTGCCTGACCCCTCTCTCCACTCCCTCCACCTCAACAAACAGTACTGACCCACAGAAGAGATGCCACTCATATTATCATGATGTTTTAAAATTTCATTTATGTCTCAGGCCATAATTCTTGGAGTCACATTTGAATCCTCTTTCCTCACAATCCAAGTCCAATCCTTTAACAAATTCTGTGGGTTCCATCTTCAAAATATGTCGAGAACCTGACCTCTTCTCATTACCTTCACTGCTATCACACTAGTCCAAGCCATATCATCTCTCACCTGGTTTACTGTGATAGCTTTCTCACTGGTCTCCCAGATTCTGCTCTTAACCCTAATCAGTCCATTCTCACCCCAGCATCCATAGTGATTTAGTTAACACAAAACAAAACAAAAGATCATGTTGTCACTCCTCTGCTCAAAACCCTCTGATGGCTCCCATCTCACTCCAGGCAAAACTAAAGTCCTTCTGACAGCCTACAAGGCCCTGCCTGGCCTGTTCCTCCTCACCTCTCTGACTTTCTTTCCTATTACTTTCCTTTTCTTGCTCCCTCTGCTCCAGTCTCAGAGTCTTTCCATGTGCTATCCTGTCTACCTGGAATGCTGTTCTCCCAAATATCCACGCAGCTTATTCTCTCATTCCCTGTACATCTTAACTGAATTATTACCTTCTACCCCTGTACAAGATTGTGATCTCTAAATACTATTTTCTACTAAAATGAGCCAAGGCTTTTTGGAAAAATGGCTGATTTCAAGTCTGAGGCAAGAACTGTATAAGATGAGCCTGGAATATTTTGTCATAGCAGAAAGCAAGGATACTGTTTAAAACTACTAGGTTGTGTCAAAAGGAAGGAGGAGCCAACTTCAAATGGCTCCTACTAGCCAAAGTAGTAAAAATTTGAGCATCAATAAGACATAATAACTGAAATGGACTGAAACACATCAGATATGTTGATACCCACGTGTTCATATTGATACTATAAAGAAATCATTGTTCACCTTTGGAACCAATTCACTATTCCAAAAACAAGTAAATAAAGGGGAAATATCAACACCCAACATGCCTTTGCTGTACAAACTGTACCACAGGACAACCAAATAGTTGAGGAGGAAAAGCTTCTCCTTAAAGTATTCCAGATAATAAAAGAATAAAATTGATAGCATTAAAGTATCACCATTGTACACCTAATAAAGTAATGAAGCTAAGCAATAATCATCCATGACTGCTTACATCAAAAAAGGAGCACACACCACACCCTCCGAAGTAATCTTGCCAAAAAACTGAAGACTCTAGATCTAACTACCAGTTGACTGAAATACAGGGCACAGAAACCTATGTTAAAAGACACTAGAGGAAGACAATCAGCAAAATTTAGCCTGGAGGAAACACTATAAAACAATTCAATTTCTTTAACAAATAAATTGCAGCGAAGAAAAAAGAGGATGAGGCATCTATAGAGATTTAAAAGACATTACAACCAAATGCAATATCTGGACATTGAAATTCTGATTCAAACCAACTTTTAAAAAAATACCAAGACAATCGAAGAAATTTGAACATTGATTGGATATCATTTTATAATATTAAAGAACTATTCATTTTTAAGGTGTTTAATAGTATTGTGGCTATAATTTTTCAAAAGTCCTTATCTTTTAGAGAGATATACTGAAATATGTACAGAAGAAATCTGGGATTAGCTTGAAAAAGAGGAGGAGTAGCTGAGGTATAGATAAAACAAGATTAGGAATGAGGTGATAATTATTGAATCTGGATGATGGGTACATGGGGATTTGATTTACTCTTTCTCTGCTTGTTTGAATTTCCTGCAACAAAAGATAAAAAAAAGAATCTTAGATGAAAAAAGTGGGAGATTTTCTGATGATAAGCAATAGTTATATGAGGGAATTGTTCCAGGGTTTTAAGGAACATGATTGAATATTCACTGAGTCAGTAGCCATATGCAAAATTGGCTTGGGGTTGAAAGATGCCAAGATTGGCTTGGGGTTAGTTTAAAAAAATTGCTATAATCAGGCTAGATGATCATCACGAAATAGGCTGAGCATTTCATTTAAGGAGCAAATAGTCAGATGAAAGAGATTATCTGCAAGGAAAATAAAAGTTGAACAACAATCTAGTTGAAGCTAAAAAGCTGTTAAACCAGTGTAATCCAGAAAAGTATATTCACTGTGCAATTTGTCTGTAGTACAATAGTCAGGCAGCAATATCAAGATTTTCTTAGATTTCTTTGTGGAATGTAACATGAGGTGCAGAAGTCAGGAAAGACCATACACTTTGTCCAATGTGCAATATCCACAGTGTGGTTTGACGACTTGAGGCTCTCTCCATACACCCAACAGTGACTAAGCAGAAATCACATAAATTTATGGAGAGGTGATGGTAGTTTCTGCCTCACTCGGGGATGGGAGTAGGGGGTAGTAGCCCGTGGGATAGGGTGGAGGATGGGCATTCTGGTCTCTACGGTGTTTCTAATTCTCCATTAAAACAGAAATCTATTGATAAAACTCATGAAAGGAGTTACTCTGGTTTTATGTATCTTAAAATAAATGCCCAGGGTATCTATTGTACAAAATGACATTTTGCCAATTTTAAGAATGCCTGTATTTATCCATTCAGCTTTTATTATATTTGAATATACTAAAATGTTCCTCGTAATATTTGATCAGTGTTCAAAATGTTATGTCCCATTGATATTTTTTTTTTTTAAAGATTTTATTTTATTTTTTTTCCTTTTTCCCCCCAAAGCCCCCCGGTACATAGTTGTATATTCTTCGTTGTGGGTCCTTCCAGTTGTGGCATGTGGGACGCTGCCTCAGCGTGGTCTGATGAGCAGTGCCATGTCCGTGCCCAGGATTCGAACCAAGGAAACCACTGGGCCGCCTGCAGCGGAGCGCGCGAACTTAACCACTCGGCCACGGGGCCAACCCCTCCCATTGATATTTTTTAAACAGTACTTGCTCGTGGTTGGTTTCAAGTTAAAAGGAGACTGTAAAAGAATGGATTTTTATAATTAATAGGGATGCTACAGGCATGGTAAATCATAATATTTCAAGAATCATGGGGTAAAATGTTATATGTTATATAGCAACTGACAACTCTAATCTCAGGAATTCATAGATTTTTTTTTCTGCCAGTAATAGACCCAAGCCCCATCTCTTACAATCCCTATAAACCAAGATTCTAAGTGAGTACTATTTGGTGTTGGTGTATGAATACTCAACAAACAAAACTTGCCAGCACATTTTAAAAATCATATCAAATTTTCTTGACATTATTTGACATTGTGCTTTGACAATTTAGCATTATACATACATGTCTTATCAAAAGAGAAATACAGGGGCTGGCCCCGTGGCCGAGTGGTTAAGTTCGCGCGCTCCGCTGCAGGCGGCCCAGTGTTTTCCTTGGTTCGAATCCTGGGCACGGACATGGCGCTGCTCGTCAAACCACGCTGAGGCAGCGTCCCACATGCCACAACTAGAAGGACCCACAACGAAGAATATATAACTATGTACCAAGGGGCTTTGGGGAGAAAGAAAAGGAAAAAATAGAAAATCTTAAAAAAAAAAAAGAGAAATACAGATTAAATGAACTCGATTGAATTTGTACTTTTCTGCCAGCAGTAATAACCTCTGCCCCCCACTCCATCTGCCTGCTGTTACAGGTATCCAGAGACGATAAGAACTCCTATGAGGCATAGGAAATGGGGGTAGGGGTGGATCTGAAAGTGCTCTGAGGGTATTTAGAATACAAATTGGTTCAGAAAATGCCCCTTCCCTTCTTTTAAGAGAAAAGTAGACACACTGTCTCTCAGAGCCGAGCTCTGGTTCTCAACCTTGACTCCATATTATAAGCACTTAGGGCACTTAAAAATGCTCGTGTCTATCCCCCGCCCTTACAGACTGGGATTTAATTTGGTCTGGGGTAGGACTCAGGCAAGATTTCTTTTTTAAAGGGCCCACATGATTTGTTTTTCTTCTTTTTTGGTGAGGAAAATTGGTCCTGAGCTAACATCTGCTGCCAGTCTTCCCCTTTTTGCTTGAGGAAAATTGTCCCTGGGCTAACATCTGTGCCAATCTTCCTCTATTTTGTATATGGGACACTGCCACAGCATGGCTTGAAGAGTAGTGTGTAGGTCAGTGCCCGGGATCCAAACCCGTGAACCCTGGGCCGCCAAAGCAGAGCACATGAACTTAACCACTACACCACCAGGCCAGCCTGGCCCAGATGATTTTAATGTGCTGCCAGGCCTTTAGAGTAAAGGAGATCCAGGTTCAAATCCTTACTATATGATCTTAGACAAGTTAATGAGCCTCTCTGAACCTCAGTTTCTTTATCTGTACAACAAAGATTTTTTTAAAAATCGACTTCACAGAGTCATTGTAGTGGGAAAAGGAGAATAAATATGTGAGAACTCCCAACAGAGACCCTAGCACATAGGTGGAACTCCACAAATGTGAGTTCCTTTCCTATTCATTTATATGCTAGATCTGATACTGACCCTGATATCAGTTTCCCTACAGTAAATGCAGCATATATGGGGTTAAAACCAAAACACTCATTCCCTGCTTACTCTGGCTTCCTGGCTCCAGAATCCACTATCCTCCATGGAGACAGACACTGTCAAGGACAAGCACCTGGATCATCTCCTCCCCACAAAGAGATACAGGCTGGTGGGAAAGCTGCTGACCAGCAAGATCACGGGCTCCCTCCTCTCTGCAAGTAGTCTCAAGGCCAAAGACAAGCTGGTGGGAAAGCTCCAACCAGCAAGGCCATATGCTCCCGCCTCCCCTACCTAAAACCCCAAATAAAAACCCTTCCTTTTAGCTTTTTGGGGAGTTTGGGATTTCAGCATTAGCTGCCCTCTCTCCTTGTTCAGAGCTGTGCAAAAATAAAATTCCTACTTTCTTCCACTATCCCCGGTGTCAGAGATTGGCTTGCTGTGCAACGGGTGAGTGAACTCACTTCAGGTTCAATGTCAGATCTATGTTCAGATAAAACAAAACATTGTCTTCTCTTCTGTAACTCTTACTTTTTCCACCTCCAATATCTTCCATTTATTTTTCAGAAGTAATCCCAGGTGACTTGAGAATGAAAGCAGAAGTCTCTTTTATCCTACAGCACAAAGGATCTCTCTAACCCTCTTCCCCAAATTTAAAGTGATCCTATATATTCAACAGCAACTGTGGGACTGGAGCTATGTTGAGAGGGGGGAATGGGGAGTGAAGTATGACCTGGGGTCACCCATGTCTTTGTCTTTCGAGGATAATCCAGTGGGCTTGGTAGTCAGGGAGGAATGCACTGAACTCTGAGCAAGAGGAAGCCCTTAAATGTTGCAAAATGGCCAGCTCTTCCAAAGAGGAAGTTTGTGACCAAACAGTGGCACCAGAAGAAGGCAGGCCTCAAGCACATAGCACAGCAACTTCAAGTAGAGCAGACACTCAATAAGGAATTTGCAGAATTGAAATGAAGATCCTAAATTCCAGGTAAACATCTAACTTGACCCAGTGCTCAATGGAGTCTGTGTGGTGTAGGCATTATCTTAGTTTACATCACTGGTTACATTAGTGGTTACCTGACTCATAACCATCCTTATCTGAGCTACAACAACTGCCTCGCTTCTGCATGAGCTGAAATCTCTTACATTTCCTGTTGAAATATCCTCTTCACCCCCTTCATCCTACTACCCTACCCGAGGCCCGGATTCCTCTAAACGTCTCAAAGGTTTGCAGAGATACGGAGTGAACTTTCATTTCATTAAAATGATGATTTCATTGCAACTTCCATAGGCAGGCCCCAAATCCATGAGTTGCAGGTATGATAACTGATAACAGCTCTAACTTCTTTAAGGTCAAAGACATTCGTTTCCAAAGAAAGCACTCACAATCCATAAAAGTCTAATCAATTTATAAAAGCTCCAACTATTTTAAAAATATTTTTAAATTTTTATATGTTTTTTAAATGTCAAATTTAAATAGAGATGGTAAACAGATAATTGGTTGCCAGAGATACATTTAGATGGGTAGAGGGTTGAATAGATGAAGCACTAGAGATTTATTAGGCTGGTGAAACTATTCAATATGACTATAATGGTGGATACATTACAATATGCATTTGTCAAAACCTAGAGAATTTTAGAGGACAAAGAGTGAACTTTAATGTATACAAAGTTTTAAAAAATCATTCAGGAGGTTAAAAGATCCCAGAATGGAATGTAGATGGTAACAAAAGAATTTAACTATATTACAAATGTATGAAAGAACCTCATTGAAGGGAGTAGGAGAAAGGGTGCTGACCTAATCATTTTGGAAATGAGTGAAGTTTGTAAGACTAAAGGCAAAAGGAACTGTACAAAAGCAAATTACCCTACTCGATAAAGCTGTTTCCCATGGAGATACAGGTTCATAATTCTGAGGCCACTATATACATATACTGGAATGGAACAATTAAGTAAATGGATGACAGTAGGAGTCAGGATTCTCACTGTTGGAGTGGAAAGTTGCAGATAGGCAAGGGGAGGTGGCTAGAATGATCCATGTGGTATTGGATTAGAGTTAGAGACATTAGTATGAACTCATGCTTTAGTTTAACTGAGCATGAGGACGAACTCATGTTTACTTTAATATACAGATGGATAAAAAGGGCAATATTTATAGTTGTGTGTATATACAAGGTTTAATACATATATTCCCCTGCTCTGTCAGCTGAGAGGGCCTCTAAGCAATGACACCCAAGTAGCAATGAGTACACCTAGCCCCCAGAGCTTTGTATTCTAAAACCATTCTCCAAAAAAAGGAACCAGAACTGCCTGGAGAAATGGCTGATTCTAGACACAGTAGGTGAGCCTGGAGCATCTTGTAGTGCCAGAAAGCAAGGAAGTGGCCAAAAAACCCCACAGTGATGGAGTATATCAAATTGACACAGGAGCCAACTGTAAGATCTCTCAATAGCCCAAACTGGAAATAAAATACCATTCAATTATAACCCAAAGTATAAAGTAAATATCCATGAGACTATACTGATAAAAAAATTAATGAATAAATTAATTAATGAGGAAGAATAGACAAATCTCCTGTACAGAAGAATTCCAAATAATTTATGTAGATACTCTGTCCTCTAGGAGGTGGAATATAACTCCCCACTCCTTAAAGTGTGGGCTGCACATAGTGGCTACCTTCCAAAGAGGAGTGTATAGGGAGGGAGAAAAGTGATTTTATGCTAGGGAAACCTGACAAACACTACCTCAGCCACATGATCAACATCAACAGCAATAAGTCATGTTGATAGCACACACCCTTAGTATGATACAATGAAAATGGCACTTTACCTTTCTGGTCTTCCTCCAAAAAATACATAACACCAGTATGTATAATCATGAGAAAGACATCAGACAAATCCCAACTGAGGAACATTCTACATAATGCCTGACTAGTATTTCTTAAAACTGTCAAGGTCTTCAAAAACAAGGAAAGTCTGAGAAAATGTCACAGCCAAGAGCAGCCTAAGAAAACATGCGGGTTAAATTAATGTGGGATCCTGGATGGGATTCAGGAGCAGAAAAAGGATATTGGGTAAAAACTAACGAAATTTAAATAAAGTATAAACTTTAGTTAATAATAGCATATCACTATTGGTTCATTGATTGTAACAAATGTACCACTCTAATTTAAGATGTTAATCATAGTTGAAACTGG